TGAAAAATTGTGAAAATTGTGAAAATGCAGTGAATTAATGTCTTTTGTGAAAAATTGTGAAAATTGGGAAAATGTGTGGTGTGTCTTTTTGAAAAATTGTTAAAATTGTGAAATGCAATGAATTATTGTCTTTTTGGGAAAAATTGTGAAAATGTGTGAATTAATGTCTTTTTGTGAACAATTGTGAAAATTTGGGAAAATGCGTGAATTGTCTTTTGTGAAAATGCGTTGAATTGTGTCTTTGGGAAAAATTGTGAAAATGGTGAATTAATGTCTTTGTGAAAAATTGTGAAAATTTGTGAAATCTAAGATTAATTGTGAAAAATTTGTGAAAATGCGTGAATTAATGTCTTTGTGAAAAATTGTGAAAATTGTGAAAATGCGTGAATTAATGTCTTTTTGTGAAAAATTGTGAAAATGCGTGAAAATGCGTGAATTAATGTCTTTTTGGGAAAAATTGTGAAAATTTGTGATAATGCGTGAATTAATGTCTTTTTGTGAAAAATTTTGAAAATTTGTGATAATGCGTGAATTAACCCTATATTAACCATAGTGACTAATTATTTCTGAAAAAAAATTTTCTTTGGTTATCACTTTATTTTTTGCATAACTAATTATACGAAAAAGAAAAAAATCATTTTATCATGTTTTCCAAGAATTTCTTTATTGTACCATATATGCTACATCGGTAAATAAGGTGTAAACTAACATTAATTATGTTCAGGTAATATATATTGTAAGTAGCCTCAAGGTTCAGTGAATAGTTTTAGTTCTAAAAAAACATAATCTATGCCATTAAAACATTAATTTTAGCATGTCTTTCTATGATATGCAGTGTAGCAATTACGATTTTTGTTCAAGCATAAATAAGCCTTGCACTTCCCACACATAACAAGTGAAAATCCATTCGTGCACTTTCGGCAACGTTGTCGTTTCTCTGCATAAATGGGCAAATGATCAACACCATCAAATTGAACATCTTCTACTGGTGCTGGATTTACTGATTTTCTCTTCTTTCTTGCACTTTCTATTGACCGACGTCCACGTTGTGGTTTGTTTACATTACACAGGGCAAAGGCAACCATAGCTTGAAATTTTCTCAATGGCATTGCTCTGATATTAAGAATTTTGCAATCTCTTCTGTATAGGAGCCATGCATTTACCAGTGCAATTGTGAGTATGATAAAGATGTAAATATACCACCTTTTGCTTCTAAGCTTATATTTGTATAGCGAACACAGCATATCCATAAGGTCAACTCCTTCCATTGATTTGTTGTAAACCGCAATAATCGATGGTTGATTAACACTAATATGCTGTTTCTTTGACCTATCATATCTCTGTACATTATTACCATCCTGATTACCAATATAGGAGGAGATCATTGTGACACACTTGTTATCATACCATCGAGCCAAAGAGATTTCTTGTTGTCTCGACAACACTGTCCTCTGACCCTCTCCCTGTTTTTAATTCTTTCTCTGATTTAAGAGCCCCATGAAGACGATTGTTGTTGATTGTACCAACATAATGTAATCCTCTTCTTTCTAGTTCAGCAACCATTTCAAAATTGGAGAAAAATTGTCAGCAAAGACTTTGAAGTTTCTTTCTGTTGGAAGAGTTGAACACAACTTCAAAACAACATTTCCACCCAATCCACATCCAGAGACACTACTTTCTTCTTCAGTTCTGGCATTCTTTCCTTGGTAAATATCAAAACATGTAAAACCCTGTTGATGAACATCGAGCCCAAAGCTTGAATCCCCATTTTCTTGGCTTCTTTGGAAGATATTGCTTTAGTATTGATCTTCCTTGAAGGCAACCATAACTTCATCAATGCATTGGTTTTCAGATGGACTAACTTTCAAAAGTTTGAATTTAAATCATCACACCATTGCCTTATCTTCCAGACTTTATCATTCTTATTTTCCTTCGTTACTGTTAGGTTGTTAGCAATGTGCATATAGGAAGCAAGCTTTTGAAACCGCTGTCTTGACATCACATCAGCTATTGGATTATAATGGATGTATGTTTCCCAATAGCAACCAACAGCAGGCATTTGCACCAATCCCATATGAAAAAACAGACCCACAAATGTTTCAAGTTCACATGCTGATGCTTGTAGTGAAAACCCTGCTTTTTGATGGGCATAATGATTGGATTCTTCAGCCAAATATTCAAACATGTTGCTGGTCACAAAATATTTGAAGTAGTTGTAGGGACTGTCATCTTTGGGTTCAGGTTGAAGTGGTGCATCTGTGAATTCAAGGTTTGAAGGTGGAACAAATGCTCTTCGCTTGTCAAACTTATATAAATTTTTTGGTTTTTCTTTTCTTCTTGCAGTTGAGCCATGGGGCACTTCTTCAGAAACTGTAGCACGATGATTAATGCTTGTACCCTCATCATCAGGAATGGTAGCCGGGATATCCATGTTATCATCATGTTGTTTGGCAACTTGGCTGTCATCACCAGGTGGTTGCCATTCATCTACTTCATCATCACTAGATAAATCACTCAACTCACTCTCTGAACCAATAACATAATCAATGATCTCACTTATATCTTCAAAGCGATTTGACATCTAAAAACATATATGGATCAATACATTTATAAAATGTATCAACTAATATTTAGAACAAACCATAGCCATAGTATGAAATTTCATTCTATACAGTAGTTAATATGTTAAAAGTATCATAAGATTGATTTTAAATAGGCAATATTTCAATAAATTTAACAAAAACTCAACTTACAATAAATACTTCATGTAGTTCGTTTTATCAATTATTGACCAATGTAGCAGATTTGGAACAAGGATTTTCATTGAAAAATGATGAACATAAAGATGCATTTATTCAGAACAAAAGATGAAACAGAAATGTCTAGAAGGCCCTTGTTTGAAAATATCAAAGGTTTTGGAACAAATCATCATATTTCAAAACAGTAAATGCAATTAAAATTGCCTCAGATTGTCGCACATGCCTTCTTTCGTGATCCGCCATGTTTGATTTGTAAAAATAGTAGCTGGGGGTGTTACATGCTTTATTAATATAAATTAGCATCAAACATGTAGCAAAAATCTACACTGGTGAATAAAGTTAAAAATATTGCAAAATTTGTAGGAATTCTTTAGTGTTGCCCAATGTAGCATATTTGCTACAAGGGTTAATATAGGGTTAATGTCTTTCTGTGAAAAATTGTGAAAATTTGTGAAAATGCGTGAATTAATGTCTTTTTGTGAAAAATTGTGAAAATTTGTGAAAATGTGTGAATTAATATCTTTTTGTGAAAAATTGTGAAAATTTGTGAAAATGGGTGAATTAATGTCTTTTTGTGAAAAATTGTGAAAATTTGTGAAAATGCGTGCATTAATGTCTTTTTGGGAAAAATTGTGAAAATTTGTGAAAATGCATGAATTAATGTCTTTTTGTGAAAAATTGTGAAAATTGTGAAAATGAGTGAATTATTGTCTTTTTGGAAAAATTGTGAAAATTGTGAATTATTGTCTTTTGTGAAAAATTGTGAAAATTTGGAAAATCGTGAATTAATGTCTTTTGTGAAAAATTGTGAAAATTGTGAAAATCACGTGAATTAATGTCTTTGTGAAAAATTGTGAAAATTTGAAAATGTGTGAATTAATATCTTTGTGAAAAATTGCGAAAATTTGTGAAAATGGGTGAATTAATGTCTTTTTGTGAAAATTGTGAAAATTTGTGAAAATGCGTTGCATTAATGTCTTTTGTGAAAAATTGTGAAAATTGTGAAATCATGAATTAATGTCTTTTTGTAAAATTGTGAAAATTGTGAAAATGAGTGAATTATTATGTCATTTGTGAAAATTGTGAAAATTGTGAAAATGCGTGAATTAATGTCTTTTTTGAAAAATTGTGAAAATTTGTGAAAATGCGTGAATTAATGTCTTTGTGAAAAATTGTGAAAATTTGTGAAAATGTGTGAATTAATGTCTTTTTGTGAAAAATTGTGAAAATTTGTGAAAATGCGTGAATTAATGTCTTTTGTGAAAATTGTGAAAATTTGTGAAAATGCGTGAATTAATTCTTTTGTAAAAAATTGTGAAAATTGTGAAAATGGTGAATTAATGTCTTTTGTGAACAATTAGAAATTTGGGAAAATGCGTGAATTAATGTCTTTTGTGAAAAATTGGAATTGTGAAAATGCGTGAATGTGTCTTTTGGAGAAAATTGTGAAAATGTGTGAATTAATGTCTTTTGTGAACAATTGAAAATTGTGAAAATGCGTGAATTAATGTCTTTTGTGAAAAATTGTGAAAATTTGTGAAAATGCGTGAATTAATCTTTTGTGAAAAATTGTGAAAATTGTGAAAATGCGTGAATTAATGTCTTTTGTGAAAAATTGTGAAAATTTGTGAAAATGCATGAATTAATGTCTTTGGAAAATTGTGAAAATTTGTGAAAATGCGTGAATTAATGTCTTTGTAAAAATTGTGAAAATTTGTGAAAATCATTGAATTAATGTCTTTTGTGAAAAATTGTGAAAATTTGTGAAAATGTGAATTATAGTCTTTTTGTGAAATTGTGAAAATTTGTGAAAATGTGTGAATTGTAGTCTTTTTGTGAAAAATTGTGAAAATTTGTGAAAATGCGTGAATTATAGTCTTTTTGTGAAAAATTGTGAAAATTTGTGAAAATGCGTGAATTATAGTCTTTTGTGAAAATTTTGAAAATTTGTGAAAATGCGTGAATTATAGTCTTTTGTGAAAATTGTGAAAATATGTGAAAATGCCTATAAAATAGTCTTTTTATGTACAGAAAAATTGTGAAAAATTGTGAAAATTTGTGAAAATCGTGAATTAATGTCTTTTGTGAAAAATTGTGAAAATTT